CAACCATTGTGACTCAATAGCCTAATTCTCTATAGATTCTCCTCTAAATTAAACCTTTACTAATTTGTACATATCTGAAGCTGTATAGTATATTTTATTAGATTTTTATTTTTTATTCCGAACTTTTTCAAAATAAACATTCTTTAAAAATAGTACTATTTTCTTTTAGTGACGTGAAAATGCTAGAGACAGAGAGAGAGGGGTGGGGGGACAAAAATGAAATGTGGTCTTTCCGAGGCGAGGGTCCAATCTGCCTGGGGTTGGGGTCTAGGGGCTGGTCAAAGCGATATAGAAATACCTTTGTTAAAATAGTGCTCAATATATCAATTGTAAAGCGATATAGAAATACTACTGTTAAAATAGTGCTCAATATATCAACTGTAAAGAGATATAGAAATACCACTGTTAAAATAGTACTCAATACATCAATTGTAGAGTAATATAGAAATACCACTGTTAAAATAGTGCTCAATACATCAATTGTAAAGCGATATAGAAATACCACTGTTAAAATAGTGTTCAATATATCAATTGTAGAGTGATATAGAAATACGACTGTTAAAATAGCGTTCAATACTTCAATTGTAGAGTGATATAGAAATACCACAATTAAAATAGTGCTCAATACATCAATTGTAGAGTGATATAGAAATACCACTGTTAAAATAGTACTCAATACTTCAATTGTAGAGTGATATAGAAATACCACTGTTAAAATAGCGTTCAATACTTCAATTGTAGAGTGATATAGAAATACCACTGTTAAAATAGTGCTCAATACATCAATTGTAGAGTGATATAGAAATACCACTGTTAAAATAGTGCTCAATATATCAACTGTAAAGAGATATAGAAATACCACTGTTAAAATAGTACTCAATATATCAACTGTAAAGAGATATAGAAATACCACTGTTAAAATAGCGTTCAATACTTCAATTGTAGAGTGATATAGAAATACCACTGTTAAAATAGTGCTCAATACATCAATTGTAGAGCGATATAGAAATACCACTGTTAAAATAGCGTTCAATACTTCAATTGTAGAGTAATATAGAAATACCACTGTTAAAATAGTGCTCAATACATCAATTGTAGAGTGATATAGAAATACCACTGTTAAAATAGTGCTCAATACATCAATTGTAGAGTGATATAGAAATACCACTGTTAAAATAGTGCTCAATACATCAATTATAGAGCGATATAGAAATACCACTGTTAAAATAGTGTTCAATACATCAATTATAGAGCGATATAGAAATACCACTGTTAAAATAGTGCCTAATACATCAATTGTAGAGTGATATAGAAATACTACTGTTAAAATAGTGCTCAATACATCAATTATAGAGTGATATAGAAATACCACTGTTAAAATAGTGCTCAATAGATCAATTGTAGAGTGATATAGAAATACCACTGTTAAAATAGTACTCAATACATCAACTGTAGAGCGATATAGAAATACAACTGTTAAAATAGTGCTCAATACATCAATTGTAGAGTGATATAGAAATACTACTGTTAAAATAGTACTCAATACATCAATTGTAGAGTGATATAGAAATACCACTGTAGGTGCTCAGTACATCAATTGTAGAGTGATATAGAAATACCACTGTTAAAATAGTACTCAATACATCAATTGTAGAGCGATATAGAAATACTACTGTTAAAATAGTGCTCAATACATCAATTGTAGAGCGATATAGAAATACTACTGTTAAAATAGTACTCAATACATCAATTGTAGAGCGATATAGAAATACTACTGTTAAAATAGTGTTCAATACATCAATTGTAGAGTGATATAGAAATACCACTGTTAAAATAGTACTCAATACATCAATTGTAGAGCGATATAGAAATACCACTGTTAAAATAGTGCTCAATACATCAATTGAAGGGCTATATAGAAATACCACTGTTAAAATAGTGCTCAATACATCAATTGTAGAGTGATATAGAAATACCACTGTTAAAATAGTGCTCAATACATCAATTGAAGGGCTATATAGAAATACCACTGTTAAAATAGTACTCAACACATCAATTGTAGAGCGATATAGAAATACTACTGTTAAAATAGTACTCAATACATCAATTGTAGAGTGATATAGAAATACTACTGTTAAAATAGTACTCTATACATCAATTGTAGAGCGATATAGAAATACTACTGTTAAAATAGTACTCTATACATCAATTGTAGAGCGATATAGAAATACTACTGTTAAAATAGTACTCAATACATCAATTGTAGAGTGATATAGAAATACTACTGTTAAAATAGTGTTCAATACATCAATTGTAGAGCGATATAGAAATACTACTGTTAAAATAGTACTCAATACCTCAATTGCAGAGCGATATAGAAATACTACTGTTAAAATAGTACTCTATACATCAATTGTAGAGCGATATAGAAATACTACTGTTAAAATAGTACTCTATACATCAATTGTAGAGCGATATAGAAATACTACTGTTAAAATAGTACTCTATACATCAATTGTAGAGCGATATAGAAATACTACTGTTAAAATAGTACTCAATACATCAATTGTAGAGCGATATAGAAATACTACTGTTAAAATAGTACTCAATACATCAATTGTAGAGTGATATAGAAATACCACTGTTAAAATAGTGCTCAATACATCAATTGTAGAGTGATATAGAAATACCACTGTTAAAATAGTGCTCAATACATCAATTGTAGAGTGATATAGAAATACCACTGTTAAAATAGTGCTCAATACATCAATTGTAGAGCGATATAGAAATACCACTTTTAAAATAGTACTCAATACAACAATTGTAGAGTGATATAGAAATACTACTGTTAAAATAGTGCTCAATACAACTCGAATAACAACATGATTCAAGTTCTGTTTTAATATTTTTATTTGGTATACTATATTGGTATAAGTAAAAGGTTATCATTTAGTCAAACAGAAGCTCAAAATTCCCCAATCACCAGGTAAAGATAAAAGGGGCTGAATGACATTAGAAAATAACACTCTGCTGAATTCATTATCTTAGACCACATCATCTCGAGGAATTCGTGAGTGGTTTTTGTACAACGCGTTTTAAGATAACGACTTTTTCTCAATTTATAAATAAGTCAATGTTGTTTCCAGCTTCAGATAGGTTTCCTTATTTTTTAATGTCAAATTTAAGCAAACTATTTGATTC